TCACATAATAATAAAAGGCAGTTGGGGACTGAGAGCCGACGGCTCTTTTCCCCTTTTCTGTGGAAAAGTAATCTGTGTCTTCACCCTTCGACCTGTATACTCCAGCTAACACCAGAATTTTGATGTAGGCATACAAACCAGTTGGATCCAGTTGTTTCCATTTTTCTTGAAAGAAACGTCTCCCCTCCAAGTTGGTCATCTCAAGAATTATCTTCTCTATGGGTGGGGATATGAAAAGCTGAAATGCTGATTCAATGTCAATAACTCTTGTGACGGAAAATCTTGTTGGACCAGGAGTCATTTTGATGACATTAGAAGATGACAATCTGCCTTGGCTTTGGTGTGGTGATGATGACCATCTTATCTTACCATCTTTAGATGTCCACGTCCCCTTTGTGAATGAGAATAGTTGCGTTTCTTGATTTTCATCTGATGAAGAATCGTCCTCTGAATCTTCCTCATCTTGGGAAAAATGACAATCTGGATCATCAACAGCATTGTCCTCTGGCTCTGAAGGATCTTCCGTCTCTGAAATTTCTTCATCGACATCGCTATCCCAATTCAAAATCTTCAATGAAGCTTCTTCTTCTGGAGCTCATTTTGGATGTATCTCTCAAAGAAAGGACATGTAAAAGTGACAAGGAGAGGGAAGAGAAAGTCCCTCCTCCACACACACCTGGTTCTCAATAACTATTCTGAGGCAATCAAAACCAATCACATCAAAGAGGCATGTTTTTTTTGTATTTAAACGGCTACTTTATGTCTGGGTCAAAATGACCCACAACATCATCTTTTTACACAAATTGTGTGCAGACACTTCTCAACACATCAAAGACTCCAGATTTTACTCAGAAGTTCATGACCCTAGATGAGGAAAAGTCACAAAATTTCATGAAAAAAAAATAAGAATAACCTGCACTTTGGTCAACTCAAAAATTGAAACGGGTCAAATTGACCCGAGCATAACAAAAGGGTTAAATGAAGAACTGGAAAAGTTATTCATTAAAGAAGAACTTTTCCTCAAATGAAGAAACATTCATTTAACTTCTCTTCATTTAAATGTGACTTAAAATAAATTTTACTTCGTAATTTCACACTTTGAAATTGGGCTTCTGTCTCTTTAAGAAGCTCCCATCATTTCTGAGACTCAGCCTTCAGGAAGTCATAACAACATGGCTCCTCTATTAACTCTTTAACATTGTTTTTACCAGCAATGCTCTGAGAAGAAGCTCCTATAATGAGCTCAGCTGATGGGCAGTTTTATCAGGTGTTTGCTAATTGCTGCTGGCTAGTCTGAAGGAGCTGAGTGGGGGAGTTGTGGCGAAGGGCTGCTCTGTGAGGTGGAAGTTCAGAAACTGCAGCTCAGTAGGAGAAGCTTTGATTAAATAGCATTCTAACATGGTGTAAATAAGAAAAAAAGGGGCAACTTTGCATAACTATGTCCCTTTAAAACAAAAATGTCTCAAAATCGAACAAAGAGAAAATAAAGTGGAGAATTTGTGATCCTTAGAAAAATGGCTAACCCAAAACCCTGCAGTTATCCTTAAGGAATATATTCAGTTTTTATTGTTTTGTGGGTAATCAAAAATGAAATTGTGTATTCCTCGTTTAGGAAACAGCTCATCTGCACTAAGGTTAGGATTATCTAACCAAACTGACTTTGTTATGTAGATAAACTGACCTCCACTTGTTTAGCTTAAGAAGTCGTGTGATTTTTCTCCCTGCTGCTGATAGGAATGCGGCTCCAAGTTCAGCTGCCAGCGTTCGCCATGGTGGCAAATGTTTGGTTTAGCCAGTCGTTCGGATCACTTGTTAGCCAGCGGAGGCGAATTTCAACATGTCAGAGGAGGAGGTGGAATGCAGCTGCCAGTTGCCCCTCGCCCCACTGACAGCCTGTTTATGAGGAGGTGATGAGCAGAAGGAGAGAACTCATTGTTGAGGTGGGACAGGAAATGAGATGATCTGTCATGGACGAGTCAGCCATCGGTTAGTCATCTGAGGAAGGTTTCTGCAGGACAAAACGTGAGGTCAAGCCTTCATGTAGACGAGTGGAATCATAAACCTGAAAAGCTTTTGTGGAAGTTTAAATCAGCAGGATTTTTCTAAAACAGAACAGGAAACGGAGGACAGCGCAGTGCATTCTGGGTAAATCAAACAAACGCTCAAGTTTGGCGCTGGCTGGAGACAAAAGACAAAAGAGAAATACAGCTGCTAAAATTTTATTCTGTTTCATTTTTGATTACATTTCCTAAATTCAGCTCAGTATCTTCTTCAGGGGTTTTTAGGTCGTCCCTTCCAGGTGCTGCAGCGCCCCCTGAGGCGAGGGAGTGAAGTGGTTTTGCAAACGGCTTGGTTGGTTGGACTCAGTGCAGCGTGAAAGAGAACCACACCAGGCAAAAATGTAACAAATGTTGCAATTTAATCACCAGTCGAACCCAGGCTCCCGTCTAACACACATCTGAGTCTGAGAAACAGAATGTCTCACAAGAAAGTAGAGTGTATGAGGCCTTAAGTCCATCCACAGGTGGGCGTCTGTTTAACTCAAATACAGTGAAATAATTCATCAGAATTTTGAAGTGATTTTCAAAGTTCTAAAGGAAAGGAAACAACAATGAATGTTCGAATAAAATACATCATGTGCAGTGTAAACAAAAACCTTTTCTGTGGGATTAACATAATTAGTTGCTGCAACCTGCTTTCCTCCATCTGAGATTATCGGCGTCCCTAAAGCCTGGGTGATTGGTTCCTGTTTGGTTAGACCAAAGTCAGCCGCCTGGCCTCAAAGTGTTCCTCCACTCGCTCTTTCCCACAAAAGTCTCTGACCTTGGATTGTGGTGTTTTGATACATTTGTTCTGCTCCCTGCTGAAAGAAACGGCCAGCACGAGAAGGCAGAAAGGACACGTCTGTTTCCCAGAAGTCTACCTTCTTAAACGCAGCTTGCATTAAAATGCAGGTAAAAAGATTGCGTCAATGTGTTTGCTTCAAGAAACGTTTCTGTCTGTCGATGCTTTAAACCTCTGAAAAATTATGGCTGTTGTTGGTGTTACTGTGACGAATCAACTGTAGAAAGGAAGAAGATTTTCTCTCTGATGTCAACAATCTTTAGATTGGTGCTCAGAATCTAAAAAATAGTGTTAGCGTTTGACCTGGATCTGTGTTGTCTAGCGAGCGAGGTGTAATCACCTGCTACACATATTAAACTGTCCTGCTATCAGATCAGTTCTGCTATCAGAGCATCCAAGCAAAGATTGAATTAATGTGAGGTTTATATCTGGTTGATAAGTCAAAGGGAAGTTTTCTCGCCTCTTGTGATGCTCTTGATAAGATTCCTGGTTTATATGGGGGCATTTTGTCGCTGCACTCCAAAACATCCCAGTTTGGGTTATTTTGCAAGCCCAGTCACATGATCAGCTGCATGACATCACAGGGAGGATCCACCACCACAAACAAACCACAACTTTTATTATGTTGCTAAAATGTGGCAAAACGCTCAGATTTAGGTCTGGTTTTAAAAACAAATCTTTATCCTTCTGGATTTCTTAGGAATTTTTATACTTTTGGTTTGTGTTTCAGGTTGCGTTCATTCAAAAATCAGTTGACATTTTAACACACATTGTTTGCAGGCTACCGCTAACCTGGCCATTCAAATCTTGCACACAGCTCAGTCTGGGATTTCTCCCATTCACATGGATTCCTGTGGTAGAATTTCTTCCGGGCCAATCAGCAAACAGGAGAAGTCGTGGATGATGTTGTCCATTTTCTGCGCTGTTTTGAATTGTTTTCTGCCAAGTGGCTGGTTCTTTAGCAGGCTAGGCTACTGCTACGCATGTTAACTTTTCATGTTTGTGTTTAGAGAAGTTTGGGGATGAAAAGATGTAAAAGTGGTGTGTTCCAAAGGACAAGGTAAAGTGGCACCAGCAGGTTGAGAAAAATAAACAAATAAAACAACAGAAGAGACTAAGAATGCTACAGCTGGCTAACCGCTACCAGCGCTAAAGTTAGCATCTGATTGGAGGTTGTTGGTAGAGGTAAAAAAGATATATATATATTTTACATTTGATCATTTCCAGTTTTAAGTGTAAAATACTTATTGATCCATTCTACACTGAACACTAATTATTTAAAATAGTTTGAGAAAAGCATTAAAGACACAAGATATGCACAAGTTATTTCTTGATCTGTTGGGACTTTTGTGATCCATGAAACTTTTCTTCTGTTATATTAAAAATCAAAACCGGGTCATTTTAAGTGCATTTAACGCCACATTGGTTCAAGACTAGAACTAGTCAGACCTGGACTGAAACCAGATTCATCACAGATGCTTTAAAACGCTGCTGTGATCTATAAAATATCACAAAACTCAATACTTTAGACTAGAAGAACCAGCAATGAGTGATTCTGATTTTGTTAAAAGAACAAACATGAACAGGAGGCGAAGCTGCACCACTTCACATCGTTTCTGCTCTCAGCTCACATCCTTCTCACTAGCTCTGTGTAAACAAGATTACACACACCTTTCACCTACAAAGTGCAGTGAATAAATCTTGTGCTTACGATAAACAGTGTGTGAACCCTGGCAGATGAGCAATTACTCTACTTCAAAGTTCACTTCTGTGTTAAAAGGTTCTGGTGTAGGGAGTGTCCATTTGTCAGTGGTGTGTGTGTGTGTGTGTGTGTGTGTGTGTGTGCGCGCGTGTCTGTGTGTGTGTGTGTGTGTGTGTGTGTGTGTGTGTGTGTGTGTGCCCGTGTTTGAAGCCTAGACTTGCTCTGACCGCTTCGCTCTCTTTTTTTGTTTTGTTTCTTGTATTTAAAAGGTCGCGCAAACTGAAATGACCTTTTCTTTGAGCTTGTTATGGTGAAGGAACTCTCAAGCGTCTCAGGTGTCACTCTGCTTCCTTTAAGCTGCCTCGGGAATAATTTGTCAGATCTTTTTCCATCATCTTTCTCCACAAACGCGGTCTGAAGTGTTGCTTGTCCCTCTGTCTGTGTGTCCCTCCAGGCTTCTCGTCGGGGCGCCCAAAGAAAAAGCAGATTCTCTTCCAAACGTCAACGAAACGGGCGCCGTGTACGCCTGTCCAATCAGCGAAGACCCCACAGACTGCACCAGGATTTCTCTGATCACATCACGTAAGGATGATGCACAGCTGCCTGACAGAATTACCTGCACTGTTTAGATTTTTTTTTTTCCGCAGAGCCACCTGGTGGTCAAAATGATCCATTTCATGTGCATTTCCAGATCCATCAACTGGTTGTGCTGAACTTTTACATCAGTTTTGATAATAAATTTTTGTTTAGTGATGGACGTAGGCATCCAAAAACCTGAACATTGTTTCATCTCAGTGTTTGTGCATATCTGTTGTTTCTTTTTATGAGCTTAAACCTTTTTTTTAACTGTAAAAAGTAGATGTGATTCATTAATTACATACTCTTCAAATGAACTTGATTCAAAATTTTAATTGCGTTCCACTGTAGTTTCAATAATCGCAGTGATGGGGAATTTTTAGCGAGTACCTAAAGAGTCAAGTTGCAAAAATATATAAAATGCTGTAATTACATGTATTTAGGTGGGGAAAAATGATGAAACTTGATTTTATGAACGAAGAGGTGGAGGGAGGATTAATCACTGACTGAATACCTGCAAGAGAAAGATTCTCCTCTGAAACTTTTCTTTGAAATCTGTCAGAGAATCAAACAGGCTGTCTTTGTGTCTCGTACTTGGAACCATTTTGCCCACGATTCAAAATAAGACTAACTCTGAACCCATGTGACAAATTCACAGCTGACCGTCGGAGGGGGCATGTGGCTGGGGCGTGACGGTGGCCAGCCAGCGGAGCCTGAAGGAGGGACGCGTGCTGGTGAGATGACTCCCTGTTCACTGCACTAATCAGCGCCTGCAGTATGCCAGTGATACCAGTGAGGTCACACTGCCACAGCTCAGGCCAACCTCTGCTGTCGCTGGTGACGCAAAAATGTTTAATTCAGAGAGTGGAATTCTATGACATCGCTAGCTTTAAAACCGTGGCTTCCTGTTTGCAGGCGTGTGGCCATCGTTACGTGAAGATCAGCATAGGCCAGTGGCGGATGATCGGAAAATGCTACGTAAGGAGCAACGATCTGACCTTGGACAACAGCGATGACTGGCAAGCTGATACTTATGAGCGCTGTAACCCTGCAAACGACCACAAGAAGGACGGGGTGTGCAACCTGGGCATCTCCGGTGGCATAACTGAGACCGACGTCGTCCTCGGCACCCCGGGAAGCTATAACTGGAAAGGTGGGATGCTGGGAGCTGCCAGCCGAGCTTCAGTCTTGAAACCAAACCACTTTCCTGTCTTGTAATTGTCTGTTTCCTTTGCTTTAAAGGGAATGTCCATCTAACCTGGAGAGATCCAAATCCAGACAACTTTGGGAACATTATTCAGAAAACAATAGCTGACGAGAATAAAAACAACATCTATATAGGTGAGTTCTTATTCTGTGTTAAATGACAAACGCAATTAAAATCACACGTGAAAATGTTTGTTGATGCCATGCCATCATCCTCCAATCTCTTCCTGTTGTCTTCTTTCTGGTGGTTTGCGACAGTAATAACATCCGGTTGTGGATCGTGTGACTTGTGTGTCTGGGAAAAATAATTTGTTTCCATTCCCTTTTTGTGAAATTAACCTATTTGGTACGCCTGAAAAAGCCATCTCATCCTAACGCCAAAACATTTTTTTTTTTTTTAGAAATTGCTGTTCTTCCCTTAAGCAGGTTTACTCCAGAAATGTCAAATTGTCAATGGACTAATGGAAACACAGTTTCACTGTTTTTATATATGATTGGCGTGCACAGCGTTGTGCCGGTGATTGAAAACACCTGCTTTGTTTTTCCAGGTTATTCAGTTCTCGAGGAGCGAAAACTGCTGAGTCGTGACCATCACACTGTTGTGACAGGGTCCCCCAGGGATGAGTCCAAAGGCTCCGTGATGTTGGGAGAACAGACTCAGGACAAAATCCAGATAATTCAGACCATCCTGGGAGAACAAGTGGGATCCTACTTCGGGAGCAGCCTGGCTGCCACCGACCTCAACAATGATGAGTATGTCTGTGCTCCGTCTGTGGGGATTCTAACTGTTCACTTTTACTTTCATCCACTGTGA